TCATAAATCCCACTATAACTCATGAGTGTAGGATTTGGGTGATCAGATGGCATCTTCCTCTATCCTTAGGCATGAGGAAAAAAATACGGTCTAATTTTATGTGAATCAGTAGAGAATTTCAACCTCTAGGATTGACAGCCTGGGCCTAGGATATGAAGTGGTACAGGAAGGAGAGACTTTTTAGTTTTCAAAGTTTACTTAGTATTGACGTTTTAAAATAAACATATAAAGTTGCTGACATTGTTGCCTCTGTTATTACAAACACCAGTTATCATTCATGGAGCACGTACGTTATGTCTGGCACTGTGCCATATGTTTTATGAGCTTATCTTGTTTAATCTTGAAACAATCCCACCACGTTCATTTTGTGGTTGATGTAACTAAGATTCAGAGAGGTCAAGTAACCTGACCAAAGTCACACTAGTAAGTGATGAAAGTAGAATTGAAATGTTAGTCAACCTGTAATATTAACCACTTTACTGGTCTGCTCATTCCCTGTCATAGTCCTCTCCCCAAATAACCACAACATTATCCACAATAAAAACAGCAAGGACAGCCGCCATATTGAAACCAAAACCTTTTCTGAAGAAAGACAGTGTTTGCTAACATCCTGCCTGATGCTGTCCTACCTACACCTTGGGAATATGCCATTAGCCTGTAACAAGAGACATTTGAAGAGACAACCTCATGACTCTCGTAGCTGTGTTACCCTTGAGGGTTCCATTTAAGACAGTCATCATGGTGTCACCTTGAGTTCTCCCAGAAAAAACTTCTCTCAGCAACGAAAACTACAGGGCCCACCTAGGAGATTCGCCACTGCCCTCTAGTCAATGTGCAAAATTTTAAAGCAGACATACGATGTTCTCAGCTCATGCCCAGCTGAATTCTAACTTTTATATTTCCATCCTCTACCCTGATCGTCTCACAGATTTTTTAAATATATTTTACATAGTGTGAATTATGCAATTTTATAAACACACAAATAAAGAGTTGATATTCATTTCTGCTTTATAAACTTTTGAAAACAGAGCTTTTTCATGAAAGAACTATAAACCACTCTATGCTACACCAAATGAGTATAAATCTTAATAGATGAGAGGTAATTGCCGTATTTAACCTTAGCATCATGGCTCTCTTCACCTGTGACATATTTAAACTTTAATTACAGTTTATGTGACGGCCATCTGTCAAGTGTGTCTAGACAAAGCGCCTGGCTTAGTTGCTAAAGAACAGAGTAGAAAATCCATAAGCTTCTGCAACATTAGCAAGGGCCTGCTTGGTAGGGAGCAGAGTTGACAGAAAGAATTCGAAGTTTAACATTTTTTGTCTCTATCACGATGTATATCTGCATGAGTAAATCTTTACATGTTGGACTGTGCCCCTTGGCCACATACCTATGACTTCAGTTTATGGAATTACAGGCGAACTACTCTTTAGTATTTTTACTTAAGAGAGTGAAAAGGTGCCGTGGATAAACTAATGTCTTACTAGAAGAAGAATTTATTTTCTTATTATTTGAAAATGTCAAACTATGTTTAAAAGGCATAAAGTAAACAGTATAATTTTTATAATATGTTATAAGGAGAGTTTTTTTTTACTTACAACTATTTAATTTTTATGTGTTGAATAAGGAGGTATATAACACATCTCTACGTGCACATACATAGATATAAATATATACACACATATTTTTATACATATATATGAGATTGTCACAACAATTTTCTCTAAAAGTTGATGAACATTGAAGGCTTATTAACTATGCAATCTTTATCTTCAGCTTTAGGCCATAGATTTAGTATGAAGTATTCAGACTGGCCATTTTTATTTATTTTATTTATTGTGCTTACTATTAAACACATAAAAATAAAAGATAAAGGAATACTTTTTTCTCATTGTGCCTATTACGATTATAATTTGAAACAATTATAATTGTAATTCTAATTTTGAATTCATTTAAATCTTTGACCAAAACAATTCATTTTTCTTTTTAAATGATTAAAAGTATCTTTCTTATAATTAATAATATGATTTCCTCAGGATTTGTGCCAGAAGGTTGTAGTGGATGTGTTAGGGTATGGATATCCCTTTTCAGGCCTGATCCCCTGGCTGGGAGTATTGGTAATTAACACTCTGGGACGCCTTTTTCTGGATTTGCCCTTAGTTGAGGACAACAGACACAGCCCAGGTCTCACCTGCTCCTGGGCGTAGGGAGGAAATGGGGAGTCTGCATCCACTGACTACTTTACTTTGAGTGGGGAGACTATAGGCCTGCTCAGCCCCTTTGCTCGGGCTGGGATCCCTGAAGGGCCCTCTGGCTTCAGAGCTTGTTGTATTTGTGCTGCAGCTCAATTTCTCCATTCCCCAGGCCTGGAGCCTTCGTTCTTTCATCTATATCCTCATATTGCTCCTAAGAGCACTCCCTCTTCAGTATGTTTTCTGCATGTCTCCATTTCATAGTCTAGTTCACGGAGAATCCACTTAAGACAAAGAGAAATTCTCTTTTGACATACTCAGAGTGGACAGATTAATATAGGCATTTTAATAAACTTCACTGGGAATTCTCTATAATGGTTTTAATTCAGAAATATTAAACATCTATGATATTCTAGGCATTGGCTAAGCACCAAAGATAGAAAGGAAGTCTAATAGGATTCCTGATCTCATGGAACTCGCTGGCAGGAAGCACTGATGTTACACAAAGTGTATATAATTCAAACAAAACAAACCCTAGGTTGAGACCATGGAGAAACCGTTCTGATAGTATTGAGAAAGGAATGCCTACCTCCATCCATGTGGTGGGAATGACTTCACTAAGGACATTTGAAAGAAAGCCTTAAAAAGACTCCTTCAAATTAATCCTTTCCCCTCTTTCTCTCAAATCCCACATCCAGTTTCTCAACAAAAGCGTGGCCCCTTCTTTTATCTGGAACCCTGCCTCATCAGCTTCTCTGCTTCCACCCTATGCTAGCCCAGCGTCTCTCAAAGCTGTAGCCTCACAACTGGTGTTTCTGCTTCTCTCCTGGCCCATCATGGTCCATTCCCAAAACAGCAGTCAAAGGATTTAGCTAATGGAAGTCAGGAAATGAGTTCCTCTGCTGAGAAGATTCCAGCGTGTTCTCATCTCATACTCAGAGCCAAAGACACCCAGAGTCCTATGCCATCTCCACACCCCCCTCTCTTGTTCACCCCAGGCCCTGCCTTTCTTATCACATCTGGGAATCTCCTCTCACTCCCCCATTCCAGCCACTTTGGCCTCCTTGCTCTTCTTGGAAACTTCTAGGCCCCTCCTGCCTCAGGATATCTGTACTGTGCCAACTGCTAGTCCCTCTGTCTAACTCCCTCCCTCCCCTCCTGCAGGCCTCCTGGACTGTCCACTTTGCAGGACACCCTTCCTGACCACTCTCTCCCAGCACTGCACATTCCCCTTTCCAGCTGTATTTTTCTCTCCCAGTGCTTGCTATCTGCTGTGTACCCAGTTATCATTTGCTTTATTTAGAGCTTGCTTTTCTTCACCAGAACAAAAGCTCCATGAGGCCAAAGATGGTCATATGTTGTTGGTGGTTTTTTTTGTCCCCCAGAACCATCCCTGAACAATTACAGATAATTTTCCCAAGAATACAGTAAATCCTTATTAACTATTTGTCAAATAATTTATTTTTTAAAAAATATAGGTCAGGTGTGGTGGCTCATGCCTGTAATTCTGGACAGTTTGAGGTCACAAGGTTGAAATCAACCTAAACAACAGAGCAAGATCCCATCTCTATAAAAAACAGAAAAATTAGCTAGGTGTGGTGGTGTGTGCCTTTAGTCCTAGCTACTTGGGAGGCTAAGGTGAGAGAAAGATTGCTTGAACATAAGATTTTGAGATTGTAGTGAGCTATGATCCTGCCAGTGCACTCTAGCCTGGGCAACAGAGCGAGACCCAGTCTAAAAACAAATTTTCAAGGGAAGTATGTCACTGTTAACTTTGAAGCAGAAGAGGAGGTGAGATGAGAAGAGACCTGAGTTTTAGGGGGACTGTAATTATAACATGGAGGAAGGACTAGAACAGAAAAATGACTTGAGCCATAGAAAATAACTGGGAAGTATCTGCGACGGTTCAGACCTAGATCAAGAAGGGAAGGAAGACAAAAGCCCAGAGGTGGGGTAGCAACAGAGTCAGGATTGACAGGCCTTAGGTGTGAATCACACAAAACAGAATTTAGTCATGTGCAGAGATGGAAAAGGGTCAAAAGATTAAACTTATACGGCCTTCAGTGGTCTCCCTCTTACGTGAGATATCTTCTCAGTACGACACCTTGAGGAGGATAATAGTAGCAGGCATGCTGGTGAGAATGTGAAGAGCCTCTCTGAGAAAGGGACCATGGGCCAACTACAGGCTCCACCTCCCTCATGGGGATACTGTGCACATTAGCATAGGAAAGAATCCAGAAAACTTTGCAATGAAGAAACCACTGTAAATTCATCAAAAATTATATTTCTCACATTTATTTGATTATGGAACCCTTTTTGGGGAGATACCTTTTGACCTCTTCCTGAACTCAAATACTCCAGAATTTAACACCTTTTGGAAAACAGTGCTGTGTTCTGATGCACCAGAATAGGTCCAAAGTAAATAGAGATGCTTTATCTCCATAATTCCTGTTTCTAATGAAAAAAAAATGACTCAGCACTCCCCTAACAAATTGTTAGAATGAACTCATTAGAGGAATGCGTTTGATCTTTCTATGACCTAATTCCTACCAGATTAGAAAAAAGGCATAATCTTTTGAAAGTAGCACCAATTCTTTCGTGCTCCTTAAGAAAATCTACTCAGTGCTTGAAACGCAAAATAAAATGATATTCTGTTGACTTAAGAGGGATGTGTGATTCAAATGCAGAAATTTGAGGGCAGTTTTGACCAGGACCAGGGTTCTATGACATTAGAGCAGTCATAATCTAACTTTCCTGTATTTCCATCAGCTCTGATCCCAAGGTTCTCAGGTACAAATACTCACATGCGATGCGCACATATGCCTTCCGGCTCTTTGTAGTGCCCGCTGAGCTCCAGGCCACACACTGACACCAGTAATCTTCAGGTCCAAAGAGTTCTTCCACTTGCTGGCGTGAAATCTCAATGCTCACTTCCCGGACAATGAGACCTGGTAAGAGAAAGAAAGATTCAAGTCAAGAGAAGACCAGTAATTCAGAAATATGAAACATCTCGCCGTATTTTCCCCCAGTGATCCTTCTTGATATCACAGATCAACATCCCAGAGATTGTGTGTCTCATATCCTTTGATTTTCTTCTGGCTCTAGTTACTTTACCCAACAACTTTTTCATTTTTTTTAATTTGCTATTTCAAATCTTCCAGATTCATCTTAAGATGAAAGCTGAGTACCTTTTTCCATATAGCTTGGAAATATTCACTTTCAACCAAGTTATCTTCCTGTGTTTGATTGATTGCAAATTTGAATTTTGTATCTTTAAAGGATTCTACTTCAATTATATAGGTTGTAGGTAAGATAACCATGTGGTATAACTTTTCATGTGAAATGACAGAGAATAACCCAAAACTAAAATCAATGGGGTAAATAACTTTAACAGTTGTGTTTCAGTATTAATGGTACATAGTTTTTCTTGAAAGAAATACTATCCTATGCAAGAAATATATAACTTTCAAGTTTTTAATGCTTATTTTGAAAGCCCAAACGCTTCTCTGTAATTGTAGTGTTAACGAAAATCCTGATAAATCCATCTAAAATGCTCAAATAATTAGAATGTATTTCACAACATTACGTAAACCTGACTAACAAAATGTTGAACTAAAATCTGGGATTATCATTTTGGGGCATTTATCTTGATGGATCAAGCTTGTTTCAGAGATTTATTCTGCAATGTGCCTCTTGACACCGAGCAAGAGGGATTGTCTGAACCATGTACTGGGGCCAGTTCTCTTGGAGCTTGAACACATGTCTTTCAGAATGGAGTGCCCATTGAGGGAGTTAGCAGAACACCCATGGGGGTAGGAGAATTTGCTTTGGGTCAAGTATGTGCACAATAAGAATGATTAAATGCACTGTGAAACATTCACTCATTCACTCATTTGTTCCTAAGACATAATACTAGGCACTTGTGAATCTTTGATGAGAAAGATAGTCATTGTCCTCAATCAACCTACATTTGTGTGATGAGGGCTCATGTTGACAATGTGTTATACAACTTATTATTTAAGTGTAAGTGGGTTCCATGCTGCAAAGGAGATACATAGGGATAAGAGTGGATAACAAGGAATCCACTGTGGCATGAGGAATCCATATGTATTAGCTTGGCCAGATTCAATGATGAGAAGGGCAGGGCATATGGAAAGAAATAGGAGAGGGACTAAGGAGAATAAGAACCCAGGAGAAGACAACAGAGAACCAGAGAACAGTGGCATGAGATGAAGTCCAGTTTATACATTCTAGTGGTTCTCAAAGTGTGACCCCCCCAACATAATTATAAGTAACACCTGGAACCTATTGCAAATGCAAATTTCCAGGCCCCTGTCCAGACTCAGTGAATAGGAAACTTTGGGAGTGGGGCCCAGCAGTCTTAGCTTTAATAAGGCTGCTAAGAGATCCTGATTGACGCTAAGTTTGAGTGTCACTCTTGTACATGATGTTTAAGATTTTCTATTTGTTCCTGAGTGTCATGTGTATCATTAAAGTGTTTCAAGCAAGTAGATGACACAAAGGGATGACAATTAAATGTACACATATCTATTTTATATGTGAAAAATATATTCACAGGCTGAACTTGGTGGCTCATGCCTATAATCATAGTACTAAAGGAGTCAGAGGTGGGAGGATTACTTGAGGCCAGGAGTTTGAAACCAGCCATAGAAACATAGGGAGAGCCTGTCTATACTTAGAAATAAAAATTAGCCAGGTGTGGTGGTGTGCTCCCACTGTCCCAGCTATTCAGGAGGCTGAGCCAGGAAGATTATGTGAGCCAGGGAGTTGGAGTTGCAGTGAGATGTGATTGTGCCACTGCACTCCATCCTGGGGGAAAGAGTGATTATCTTGTCTCAAAAACAAAGATATAGAAATATATGTATGTATGTATGTGTGCATGTATATACACATAAAGGTGAGTGTACACATATGTGTAAATGTAGGTCAATTCTTTAGCATTTATGAGTTCCGGAGCGTTATGAAAAATTTTATTCATAGGTGATAGTAAAGGGTGTATCTTCTGTAAATCCTAAAAAAGAGTGTTCCAGAACTTACCCTAATACCTAGCTTGAGAATTTTGGTCTGGAGCAAATGTTCAAATGTCTAAGATCACTCAGGGAAATTAACAATCACCCAATAATAGAGGGTAGTTTCCTGTCCCACTGAGGATTTAAACAATATTTTCCATCAAGAGCTGATGGGGCTTGAATCATAGAAACTACTGAGCTCGTAGGCCCATTAAAAATTCCCTGACCTGAACTGAAGCCCAGAAAAGTGGATTTTCTAATGTCAAGGTACAGCAAGATCCTACAGAGGCAATTCTATTGTCAAAAGTTTATTAAGAATATTTAAAATGATTTTAAAGTTAAACAATGAATGATCCTTTTATGTTTATACAGAAACCAGTTTAAAAAGAAATTTCAAGCAACTACATATCCCAATCCTTCTATGAAAAGGAAATTAGTATTATTTTATCCAAAGTCTAACTAATATAATAATCTTCAGAGCAAAAATCTCAAGCTATTAACAAATAATACTATTTTCCTCTCTCTTTCCTGGTCCCTACTCAGGCCTCTTATTTTCTTAAGTTATTGTAATCTTCTCATTATTCTATCTGGATATTATTAAATACCTGGAAACCAGTAGAAAGTGGCAGCACAGCTTCCTTCCCTTAGCCCCTGTTTCTTCTCTTTTTCCTTTTTTCCCCCTGCCCCGCTCTCTGATGTTTGAAGTTGCTGCCTGTTTGGCTTGTTTATACATTCTCTCTTCATGCAGAAACTCAGTTACTGGAAACACACCTTTCCTTTAAAGCCGTGGCAGTAAACTTACAGTCACCAAAGGGCTGATCAACCTGCAGTGCGTATTTCCTTAGAACTATAATGGCTCTTTCTAAAATGCAGAGCAGCAAAAAAATGGGCTCAGGATATTAAAACCACATACAAATATTTTGTGTCCCAAGACGATAACTTTAGGTTTCATTTCCCCCCTTTTACTTGAGGCAATTACAGGAAACCTAATTAAATGCCAGGGAACTTCACTAGGTCCACTGTATCCTTTAGCCCAAATAAGCTTATGGATGGTTCTACTGACCACAAATCTGAAGCCTTTTAAGAAGCCACAGACCCATCCTCCTGCTACAGGAGTTATTCATAGAATGAATGTTTTCAATTTTGTGGCCTAGGCTCCCTGTGGGCACTGGAGTCAAACACACACGGATTTTTGTCTTCAACTTCACAGATGCCCCACATGCAGGAGGAAGTGGGTTAATTACACTCCTGTACAGTTGTGTACAGTTGTTTTGTCAGATGGTCCGAAGTTTACCTTCCAACTCTTGGTCAACAACACAGAATAAGAAAGAACCGAAGCATGAAATATCCAAAAACTTATGGCTCAGAATTCCCTAGAATCAGCTGCATTATTCAGACTCTGGGCTGCTTGGTTACAGAACATCTTTTCATTACCATAGGTAAGTTCATTACATGAGACATTTTGATCATCAAACCAGAGCCTAGTGGTTTGGGTAAAAGTAGGTAATATCTTTTCTCTTTGAAAGTAAAATCTCAAGTCTGCTTGAAGTCTTGAGCTGGAAAAAGCAGGCTGCCTTGAAATTTGAAATGCCACCAGCATTACTTCTAATGCAGGCTGCTTTGAAGAGCATTTGGGAACTTAAAATTGGTTTCAGGTTATTTAAGGGTGGGGGAAGTGCTTCGGTCGACAGGATTTACTCAAATACAAATGTGTAGTTTCCATCACATCTGATAACATCAAAGATTTCCCATCTCTGTGCTTCCTTTAATAGTGGCATCTCAAGGATGCATGCTGTTTGAAGTTTGCAGTGATTTGCTTTTATAATAGGATTCATTGTGGTTTGGGAGCCAGAGTGCAGGAAAGTAATTAGCATGTTATACCAAGAAGTCTTGTAATGAGTACGAGCATCCACTTGTTAAGAGGGAGTTTCAAATGAGTATAGAAAACTAGATTCAAATGCAACCGTCTGATTGCATCTTTGTGAGGCTATATATGCATATGGCAATAAGACCTCAGAGATGTCATTTACGCCTTACCTTAAGCTTAAGTATACTTGCATAATAGTGGTCAGGCACCACAAACTTTTTCCAGGATATTATAGAGCGCTCACAGGTACATGATTAATTCTATTATACAATTACTTAAAACAATATCTATATTCTTCCAGAAAACTAGTTTGTGGTTCTATCAAACAAATACTTATTATTTTTTTTTTTTTTTTTTTTTTTAGACAGAGCCTCAAGCTGTCCCCCTGGGTAGAGTGCCATGGCATTACAGCTCACAGCAACCTCCAACTCCTGGGCTCAAGCGAGTCTCCTGCCTCAGCCTCCCAAGGAGCTGGGACCACAGGCGCCCACCACAACGCCCGGCTATTTTTTTTTGGTTGCAGCCGTCATTGTTGTTTGGCGGGTCTGGGCTGGGGATTTGAACCCGCCACCTTAGGTGTACGTGGCTGGTGCCTTAGCCGGTTGAGCTATAGGCGCCGAGCCCAAACAAATACTTATTAAAAAATCCACTAATGTCAGCTATTATGTCAGAGTACAGAGATGTAAAGATGGACCAAAAATTATCAAACCTTAAGCTATTCGTTTATTGTATGAGTATGTGGTTTATTTGATGATACTCAAAAATCACACCCCATCTTAAAACACTTTTTAAGATGTGGTCACCAATCTGCACCTTCTGACAGCCCATGTATGTTTCACTGAAAAGCATCTTAACCCAGTATTAGATTTAGGTGTATACATGTGCACACCTTAGCTATATTCCTCATTCCTCCCAGTGACTTTATCTTTCATACACCAAAGGGAAGTTTTGAGATGTCATGTTATACAGGCCTGAAAATTCAAGCTCCTCCAGCAGTTTCTCTAATGGGAGACAAGCTGCAGAGCTCACTCCCCCAAATCTCATTAAAGTA